TTTGGTCGTGGAGATGACGGTGGGCGCCGCTGGCCTCAGAGCTTCCCCCTAGACGGCGGTTGGGGCGCTTCTGACCCGCAGCTCCCTTTCCTTTCCAGCAGGCGCCTGCGTTAGTCCTTACTGTGCTGTGTCCCCCTGACGAAGAGCGACTGACCTTAGCTTCCAGCAGAAGTAGCTAAAATCAGGTGTAATAAGGGCTCCAGGGGGAGCGAGGCTTGCTCTGGGGAAGGTATCTTTTGGGCTGAAGGCTTCTAAGCACGTCCTAATTCCCTTCTTCTGAGCCCCGCACATCAGAAAAAAAAAAAGAAAAGAAAAGAAAACGTGCTGTGCTTCCTGTGGGTTTATTTTGTAAGTGAAAATGGTGACTGGAAAGGAGAGTGGATAATGGGAGTGCTGGCCTAACAGCCTGTGATGCTGTAGTTGCTCTCTTCTGCTTTATAGAGCTTGAATTGTAAACGTTGTTTCTGTGCTTACTTGTCAGTTATAAAGGTTTTGTGCTTCTAGAGTTTCTCACTGTTATGTATTTATTCTTTTAATCTAACAAAGGGTTTTTTTGGGGTCACCCTAAAGCAATTCTGTGAAGTTTGCAGCTACTGGTTAAATATATTGGAACAGGTCAAGCTGTTCTGCCTCTGGGGATCCTGAAAGGAGTTTGTGGTGGTGGCTGCAAACATGATTCTGCATCAGTTGATTTATAGCGGTGAATACTCACTTAGACTTGGATAGAGGAATGTATAAATGGGAGGGTAATGCTTCAGAAAATAGTAGGGATTCCTCAGTTGGCAGAGAATGCCTTTTTTTTTCCCTCTGTCTTTTAAATTATTAGACTCCATTCAGTGTAACAGATCTCTTTCTTATTTAAAATAAGATACTGTATCCTGTATGTTTCATTAATGTATTTTCTGTCACTATATGTTTACAGTTAAGACAGGGAATAAAGTAAGAGCTCACTTCTTCCAGGGAACTGACATTTTGGAAAATGGCTATCCATCGATTTAAGTTCCAGTTGTTTCCATCTCTGTCTCTGCTCTGTGACAGCCCCGGTAATGCAGCAGGCCAGGGAAGTGAAGAAGACTGGTGGGTTGCAGTGGCTTCAAGTGCTAGATCTAGAACTGACTGACTGCATCACCAGAGTAACAAGGCTCCGGGGTAGAGAGTGTTGTTGACTGCCCAAGCACTGCTCCAAAATAGCTGAAAGGTTATTTATTTTTTAATGCAGTTAATTTTCTTTTCTTCTGATAAGGCCGTGGAAAACTGAAAATGGGTGTGCTTTTCCCCTTTTCACTCTCATTTTGGAGTAATCATTGGTCTCTTGAGAAGCCTATAGTTAGTAGAATACAAGCTTTATAGAAGTACGCAGTTTCTGATCTTCAATAAAAGGTGTAGCGCTTTCGAAGTACTGCCCTTTGGACTAGGAGCCATCTTGTTCTGTATCTGACTGCTGACAAGCACAGTGGGTGTTGGGCCCACAGCGGGGTTGCTCAGATGCCGTTTGAGGTGAATAATGTCTGATAACTCTAACTGAGCCTTACGTTTTCTTGCTCATTCTGGTATGTAAAGTGCCATGTGTTAATGTCAGTGTTTAATACACACAAGTCTGTGCCGGCACCTGTTTCTTAGGCTGCCTTACACATGTGCTCTCAAGATGTTGTCCTGGACTGCTTTTCTTCATGGTTATTGTTTGTCCATATTAGCATGATTCTTTTTCTTTTTTCCCCTCTGCTTTCCAGCGATGGCAACCTACACGTGTATCACTTGCCGCGTGGCTTTCAAGGATGCTGACGTTCAGCGTGCCCATTACAAAACTGACTGGCATAGGTATAACCTAAAGCGTAAGGTTGCTGACATGCCTCCTGTCACAGCTGAGAATTTTCAGGAGCGAGTCCTAGCACAGAGAGCTGTAGCAGAGGAGCAGAACAAAGTCACTGCCACTTACTGCACCGTTTGCAGCAAGAGATTTGCCACTTTCAATGCCTATGAGAATCACTTGAAGTCCAAGAAGCACCTGGAGCTGGAGAAGAAAGCTGTTCAGGCTGTTAGCAAGAAGGTGAAAATATTAAATGAAAAAAACCTGGAGAAGGGTCTGGCCGCAGAGAATGTAAATAAAGATGCGATGAACACAGCTATTCAACAAGCTATCAGAGCTCAACCATCTTCATCTCCCAAGAAGTTACCTTTACCTCCTAGTAATGCAAGCAGCTCTCCAGTTTCTGTGGAAAGCACCAGTTTATCACAGAGTAGAGAGCGATCCGAAAAGCCTCCGAGGCTACAGTGGTTTGAACAGCAAGCAAAGAAGCTGGCCAAACAACAAGCAGAGGAAGAAGAGGATATGGAAGAAGGTAAGGCAGTAAACACACCGACAGCGAGGGCTTGGGTTAGGCTGTGTAGTAATTGGTTTTATTTAAAAGCCTTTATTAGTGTATTAGTATACCTTTACATACTTGCAAGATGTCTGCAGTGCTCAATGCAGACATGCATCCTGTCACTTTATTAGTATGCCATTTTTGGCCACAAAAACTCTGCTATTGGTTAAGTTTTTAGCTTAAAAAAGCCCTTAATGTAGGCCCCTGCTTGCAGTCAAGGTCTTAGAGTGTTGTTATACTGTCCAAACAGCCAGCTCTGCAAAATACTAGTGCATGTGCATATTGATTATAAACACTATTATTAATACAAGGAGTGCTTCCCCTGTAAAATTCCAGGCAAAATTTTCTTTAAGGAAGCCTCCTTACATAGAAGGTTACCCTAAAAATACTTCTGAAAAATAGATGAAATAAACAAAAATCCAAGCATGATCATTTGCTGTTGTCTCATCATTCGTTTCACTGATCTTTTGGAGGAAAGTGGGGTTGTTTTTCTCTTTTGTGTTTTTTCTTTTTGTTTTCTCTGCCTATCAAGAGCAGAGAAAACTTGCTCCTTACCCTGACACTGTGTGGTATAGCTTCTCAGCATGTCGACATCTACAGTAAAATTGGTTTATGAATTCCCAACAAACACTTGTTCCAGCTATTTCACCCCCACTTGTATGGTTACAGCTCTTTGTTGGGTGCCAGCCTGGAAGCTCTACCACTGAAATATCCCCTTTCTGGGAATTCTGAAGCTCTGGTTGTTTTTCATGTGGACACTTTCAGTGCTCTACCTTACAGTGCAGCTCACAAATGTTGTCTATTAGAACGGTTGACTGGGTTAATTAGGAATGCATAAAGTTGTAACATACTGTGCTAACTTCATTACTGAAATCGTTGTGTCAGCTTACGTTTGTTACTGCAGTTTCTTGCTGGTGAGATTTCGATTGCAATTTCTGGGGAATCTTTAGAGATTAGAACTGTTCTCCTACAAGGGAAGAAATGTATATCTCCGGACATGGACCTTAGCATCTAAAAAAGGAGCAAACTTGCACCTGTTTTGTATTACCGCATTAGTCGTAAGTTGTAATGCTAAATCTCAGTAGGTTCCTGAATGTTTACCTTTTAAGTGTTTGCCCAGGAATGTTTCCTGCAATTCCTGTTAGTTCAGTTTCAGGCTTTTTAAACCATAAAGCTATATCCTATAGCAAAGTTCTCCAGTTAGCAGCTTACAACATTGGAAAGTGCCTTGTTCCCTGTTCTCAAATGTTCGAAAGTTGGAAAGGGACCAGCAGAAATAGAGCACTGGGAAACAGTCACTTCCCCAAATCTTAAAAAAAATATATATGTGCAGAGCCCTCTAGGAGTATTATCAGATTTCTGATTCATCTGTCCATTTTTTCCAATCGATAGTTAAGTAATAGTCCCCCTAGCAGCTGATTCATGATGTAGATGAAGCGTAATCTGCTACTCTGGGTTTTAAAAATCTGTCATTTGTGGCACTGGTTTTGTGCGCTTAAAGAAGGCCAAAATGGAGATGTTAAAAAATACCATTCCTCTGTGGAGGTAAAGCCCTTCCTTTGTAGTCTGAAGTCTGTTGTCAGGACCTGTGGAGAATCCTGTGTTGCTTGCACTCTGCATCAAGTGCTGCAGGAGTCTTGCAAGTATGTAAAATTATTTGCGTATCTTGGATAACTGTAAAAACCAGCTTTGTCTCTTCTCCACTGTCAAAGATATCTATGTGTGAATACGCACGTTTCCCGTCACTGCTGAGTCACTGCTGGAAATGAAAATTTTCATGATTCTGGCAGAATTGAATTTTTAGTGAGCCGCACATGTGCTCTTGCATTGTAGCAAATCAAGGCTCTTTCTCAACTAGGAATCAAGCATCCATAGTTGAGAAAATGGAGGAAAAGCATCAGATCTGCCAACTTCTTAAGGAGCAGTAGCGACCTTTGTTGTGTATCTTGGAAAGAAAAGTGTTTTGCTAGCAGTTGTATGTTCTTGCACTTGGAAATGACTGTGTGGCACTTAACTGTAAGAATAGGAAAATGCAACATTTTCAGTAAGTACTGTTTTTGCTTGGAAGAAGTAATCCTGTGAATATATGTGTCTTAAACTATTAGAAGGCTGGGAAGATATGGATTCTGATGAAGACAATGGCTCTGAGGAAGAGATGGAAAGTGTGGGAGAAGAGGAAGAGGAGCAGACAGCAGCTGAAAGCCCTCCTGCCGTTGGGGCCATACCAGTCACGGACTGCTTGTTCTGCCCCCACCATTCAAGATCTCTCATGAAGAATGTGGCCCATATGACAAAAACCCACAGTTTCTTCATTCCAGACATAGAGTATCTTGTCGATCTCAGAGGCCTAATTAAGTACTTAGGTATGCCTGTAAATCCCCTCTAGTTCTAATCAGGATAATTACGTGCTGATATTGCTTATTTTCACTTGGATATGACTTAAAGTGCATTCCCTTCTTAATGTAAGTCCTACAGGCTATTTTGATTGTGATCAGTACCATAGGTTTTCTCGGGAGAGTGAGAAGCCCCCACTGAGCAAACATACGATCACATACCTTACAGGTCTCACTTATTTTTTTAATGTCAAGAAAGTGGTTTGGCTGGCATGAAATTTAGGACAAAACTCAATTGCGAAAATATGCGTATGAACTGGCTTATCCAGGAGGAGGTTTTGAGTCTCTGCTGATGAATCATAAGTGTTTGCATCATCAGTTCACAATACTGATGAGTCAGAGCTAAAAGCTGGAAAAAAAAGTGTCTTCCTTAAAGTCTGTAGACAGTGATGGCAAAATAATTGTACAGTATCAGATAGAAAACTGTATTGGAAGTATGAAATTTCTTACAGAAAACATACAATGATCGGTACCTTGTCGTATGAACTGTCCTTTAAATGCACGGGCTTTGATCTTTTAGAAGCCATATGGTCTGCTATGGTCAAGCAGGACTTTTCTGGAAGTGAAGGGGTGAAGACTCTTCCTTAAAGGAAGTCTCTGCCTGCAACTTGCGAAGCCTACACCACGGAAATGTTAGTTATTGATTAGGGAGACTGTATTCAGTTCAATAAAAATGTCCATTTCTTCCACAGGGGAGAAAGTTGGTGTTGGGAAAATCTGCCTCTGGTGCAATGAAAAGGGGAAATCATTCTACTCTACGGAAGCAGTACAGGCTCACATGAATGACAAAAGTCATTGCAAACTCTTTACAGATGGAGATGCTGCCCTGGAGTTTGCAGACTTCTATGATTTTAGGTAAGGACACTTTTCTTTTGGTGGAGCAGACGGAAAGACAGTTGAACATTAAATCAAAATCTCTATTGATTTTTAAAATGTAGTCCTGTTTCTGGTTCTGATGCTTCTTTGCCTAGTTGATTTGCACCTTGCCTACATAAGCCTAACTTAATGATTGGTTCTCCTCTCCCCTGATCACTAGTACTAGTCCTGTGTGAAAATACATTGTGAATTCCCTTTTTTAAAAAATCTTTGTTGCTACTGAGTTTAGATTTCAGTGCATGAACAAGGATTATAAACGGATAAAAATATTTTTAGGCAGACCCTTGACTTAATATCCACCGCGGATTTTTTTTTTTTTTAAGTAGTTGGAGTTAACAGGACTGTTACAGTTCAGAGGCCTCTTGTTTAACTTTGCGTAAGTTGTTCTAATGCTTTAAGCTTGTGTTCATTTTGCTCAGAAATAGCTCTGTTATGGTGAGAAAAGGTATAGTGGAGCTTTCTGGAGCATGCCTGGAGTGCTTGTTCCGTAAGCTGCCCAGAGCTGGTGGGTTATAGGGTGATGGCTTTCACCATGAGTAGCAGCAGAAGTGTACTGGGTTATAGAACCAGTGGAAGAAAGGTGGTCCTTTGTCAGCCACTGTTCAGGTGAGGACATGACTGGGGAAACCTCTCAAACCCAGATAGGTGAAACACGACTAGTGCTTGTGGCTTGCCGTAGCTGCGTGCTGCTGTTCCTTTTTATAATGGGTCTGGATAGCTGTGACTGCTCACCATGTGTAAATCTGTTACTGCTACTCCTCCGCAGGAGCAGTTATCCCGATCACAAGGAAGGGGAAGATGCGGAGATATCTGGAGAGCTTCCAGCAGAGAGGGAGTTGGAGTACGATGATGACACCATGGAGCTGATCCTTCCTTCAGGTAAGGATAGGGTCTGTGTTAAGATATGTATTTTTCTCATAGCTGCAGCTGTTACCTGAAGTATAGGTCATCGTGGTAAGTATTTCCTTTGGCAAGGGAGCAAGTAGTTTTGCATCTGATTGTCTTTGGGTTTTACCCTTATATCCTGTTATTTTCACTGTCAAGTTTAAAGACATGTCTGCCGTTTTACCGAAAATACTTATTCGGGTACTTTGAACACTTAAAAATCCCCAAGAACTTTCTTTCTGAATTGGACTTGTTCAGCACTAATGTGGTTTGGGACAGGTGATTCCTTTGCCTACTTTTCCTCTTCATTAATACATGATTCACATGGCATACTCAAACAGTTTGCATATCTTATCTTAGTACAACTTGGAGAGAATATGACTTGGGCTATCCAATGTAGGTTTTTGCACTGAGCTGTCTGGTATACTGGTAACTAATTTGATAAAATTAATTTCCTTAAGCAGCCTTATGATCGCTGTGTATAGCGTGTAGCACTGTAAGGTGGCATATGTTTCGGAACACCCATTTATTATGCATATTTTTTCTTTTAGTGCTTCTGATGGAAGGAGCCCAGCACTTTCGTTCTGAAAAGTGCTGCCAACTGTGCCGTTAAAGGAGATCTTCCTGATTATCGCAAATGTCTTCACTGGTTACTTTCTTACAGCATTGCTTCTCTACTCATTACTTTACCTGCACGTTTCATTTCTGATAACTGGCTGTTTGTTAGCTCAGTTAAGGGCCTCTTGAAGAACAGCTCTCTTCCTTCCCCCCAAGATAAAATGCACTACAGCAGCTGCTTTAGCAATTACATTCTGTTTGTTGAACTCCTTAAGTTTTTGTGATTCTTTATCTTTTAAAAACTTTTCTCAGCATTGAGGCTCCCGAAGTTTTTTTGCAATGTGCTTGATTACTATATTTAAGAAGCTGTGTCAATATGCATAGTAAAATGTCCTCTCCCCTGAACAGGTGCGAGAGTTGGTCACCGTTCTTTAATGCGGTACTACAAGCAGCGGTTTGGTTTGTCAAGAGCCGTGGCTGTTGCAAAAAATAAGAAAGCAGTGGGCCGTGTTTTGCAGCAGTATAGAGCTTTGGGCTGGACAAGCCAGACAGGTAAGTGGAAAAATTGAGCTTTTCCTAGAGAAGGGTGTTCTAGAATGGCATCACTGTGTGATTAAATAGGCTGAATTTGTTTCATGTTTGTGGCTTTTTGTGCAATTGTTTGTCTTTCGTTTAAGTCTCTTCCATTCCTGATATCCAAGCAAAATAAATTGTAGAAACTTGTTCATGCCTAAAATCTATTTCAGCTTCTTTGCAAGCCTTTCAACTCATTAGCATGCAAATTTGTGATATTTGGTGACTTACTGAGATTTGTTGTTTCCAGAGCAATACTCTTTTCTCTGCCTGTCAAAACCACTACTCTTGCTATCAAATATATAACATAAGCCATTCTTTGATGGTTTCAATGATTTTTCGGTTGGGGAACAGTGGTGTGATCTATATCCATTCTTTGAAATAAATGAATCTCACAGGAATGCAAAACAACTTCTGCCTTATTCATAAAGAAAGCTGCCTTATTCCAGGAGAAAAGTGAGAAGTGTGCCAGTATGGGGAAGAAAATGTACTGGGAACTACTGAGTTAACCATATAGACGAGCAGTTTTGTAAATAAGTAGTAATCCTACAAATGTTTATCCCTCTTCTCCTTCCCTCTTTCTCCTTGAAGGGGCAGCCTCAGCTCAACAGCGTGATATGCAGTACCTGCAGAGGATGAAGTCAAAGTGGATGCTCAAGATGGGAATGAGTAACAATGCTACAAAGCAGATGCATTTCCGGATGCAAGTCAGATTTTGAGTACCCCGGAGAGCTATATGCAACTGTTCTTGTGGAGGAGGATTTGATAGTTTCTGGCTTGAGGATTCTGTTATTAAAATGGACTTAGCACCTAACAAATGGCAGCGTATATGCTGCTGTGCCTTCCTGTCATGAGAAGATACCTTGCAGGGAGCTTGTCTCTTCCAGTGAAATGATGGTTGATCTAATTTAAAAATTAAAATATCTTAAGTGGAATATGATGGAATATGTGGCAAAGTAGTCACTGCCATGAATAAGGATGCATGCATGTTCTTGCTGTCCAACTTTGTGCAATTTTCAATTTTCTCTAGGGCAATTGACACTCTCTCTGTCTAACTTCAGTTTCCAATTCTGCAAAATGATTGAGGCCAAGAGAAGATCCTAGATCTAGGAGCCTGAGGGGGGTTATTCACTTGTGGTGCCACACACATTAACTGCGTGTGTTGGACTTCTAGGTGGTACTATTGAGGTGAGAATTTGAGAAGAGATTATGGGAAGGTTAAATGTTAATTGTTTGATGAAACAAACTGACAGTGTAACTCCAGGATTAATTTTGTCCTGTGAAATTGACCTTAATTTCTTAATGCTCCAGCTCAGGGCTGCATTAGTAACTTACAGCGTAGTTGTTTGTGTTGAATTTCATGGATTTTCATGAGCTTAAAAACTGTTCAAGATTACCATAACTTTTAGGTGTATGTCACTCTAAACTTCTGCTGATTTGGTAAAGATCTGCTGATTAAAATTCTGAAGTTACTACTGATGTCAGCTTTTGCTTTTCCCAGTGAGTATGGGTGTTTCATACAAACTTGCTAAAGGAAAGTAACCTGAGAGGTATATTAGTTAGAAGGAGGTATCCTTCTCACCAAAGGCGCGGTCTCCCATTAGAACAGCGAAAGTAGTTTGTGAACCGTTACAGACGGGTGTAGAGAAAACTCACTCGCTACAGAGCTCGGGAGCCCAGTGCTAGTGTTGGTCCTGGTGCTGTGGATGCTACAAGCTTCTGTGAAATTGTCCGGTTCTTCTGACCTTTGTGTAAGAAGATGAGCAATTACGCACAAAGGTGTAGGTTAGTTCAGGAAGCCACTTAGCTGCAACTTGCTGAACACTACAAGAGTGTGCCACAGGAATGTTGCTATATGTTTGCTTGTCTATTCATCATGAAGGCAGTTGTTTAGTCCAATGCACTTCTGCGTTTTAGGATTACTCTGAACTCCCAAATAGTTGCTTTGATAGGCATGACTTATAAGTTTTCTTCCTCCTCTGTGGTTGGTATGTGCACAAGTATTGCTGGAGGGAGATTGGGGATAACTTTTAAGAACTTTTTCAATTAGCACTAAGTTGATTATGACACTTTAAAATAATACACTAAACTCTCCCTATAAAGTAAGTTCAGAACCAGTAGTATTGTTGGCATAGTAACACTTTAAAGGAGTTTCATTTATACAAAACGCTTAGGAAAGTGATAACTTAAAAACGCAAGTCCGTGCTGTGTATTTTTGTTGTGTGGGTTTGTCTGTGTTGTGGGTTTTTTGTTTGTTTTTGTTTTTTGTTTTTTTTTTGTTTTTCCGAGTTCTGCTGCGTTGGAAATTTTTTGCCGCTCTTGTTTTTACTGAGAGGACAGAATTTGAACAGTAATGCAGAGTGTGATTTAGAAGATGCTGTGTGAAATCTAAGTGACTGGTACCTTAAAAAGGAATTTTACTGTTGTAGAGAGAAAAGTCTTCTCTGCTAGGCATACTAAATCTGTTACAGATTTGAGTGAAGGGAAACGAGCAGAGAAAAATTTAAAGAAAGATGGGCTATCTTTGCATCCAAAATCCTAAACAAAAATTGGATTGATGAATGAATACCTCCTTCGTCATCCACTTTTTCTCTGGCAGGACAGACTTAATACCATTAGGTATCCATAGCTGTATCTAGCTCAGAGCAAACCCTCCAGAACAAATTCAGATCTGTGTTATTAAGGGCATTATCCTCAAAGGTAGGAGAAAGAGATCTAGTCTCAGCTATGTGACTCAAGCAACAAGAATGTTAAGACATCAGCTCCTTTATTACGCTTACAACTTGGCCATGGTGCATACCTGAACTTGCAATTATGGTATGGATTTCTAGCACTGAGGATATTCCTGAGTTGTATGTGTCAGGCTTCAGCTTCTGGCTCTTGGAACTGCTTATATCTTTCTCTTGGAGACTAATATGGGAGAGTCTTACGCTTATGGGCAGGTTGAATTGTCTTTACGTGTAGAGCAAAATGAAGTGCCGCAAACGTGTAGAAACAGAAGGGTTAGACTTCTCAACCAGAATCTGAACTGGAAGTCTGCTGAACTGCCTTTGAATATCTGTGCCAGTCAGCAGTGCGCATCAGAGTGCTGTTTGGTCTGTAGGCTTCAGAAAACGCTCACGGAATATCTGACACTTATGCCAAGGATAGGACAGCTATCCTGGAAAAGTCTGGGGCACAACCTAGTAGTTCATAAAGTCTTTGAGGTAGGTGTTGAGAATCTTGCCAGTAAAGGCAGAAATATAAAGAGATAATTGAAGCAGTAACAAGTTACTTTGGGTCCATAAGGTTCAGGCTGAAGGCGCATGTAGTTTGCTCCTGCCCTTAACACGAAAGGGCGACCAAAGGAAATGACTGTTGTCTGTGCAGACCTGCTCAAAGAAGCCTGCTGCTTATGGGAAGATGGGAATTGTCTGAATTTCCTGAGCAATTTAGTTTGGAAAGAGATGCACGTAAGTGAAAAAGAAAGTTGTAGGGAAGCTGAAGGAGCCAACTTACATGTTATACACCTATGACTCTGTCCTATACTACTTACTGCTGTTCAGCAGAAAATGGAGGGGAGGTGGGGAAACCTGCTCCTACTTTAAAGGAAGAGTTTTAACTGTGAGCTGACAGTGGGTACCTTGGAAAACCAGCAGAGGGCATAAGAAAGCTTTTCTCAGAATTGTTTTTACTGTGAAAAGAAATCAAGTCTAATAGGAGTACTTCATGCAGAATGCTGGTAGAGAAGGGAAAGCAAAGTTCACCAGTAACATGATTAAAGAGTAGCACTCCACTTCTTTAAGTTGAATTGCTATTAATATCTTTGTATAGGTCCAGAGAGAACGTTGCTAGCAGTGAGTAGCTAGAGCAAGTATGCAAGTACCTACAGTATTCCGCAGCGGTGCAGCGATCTGCACGGACTGTAGCTGCCTCCAGCTATATCAAAGCATCTGAAAGTATCTTTATTAAACATGCTTTACAGTGTTACAGTTTAGTCTCTCACATCCCAGGCATGAAGCCTGAAGTCTGTGCAAAGAGCATTTTTGTTTTCTAAAGGAATTCCAAATGATAGGTCCCGTCAAGGAGCTATGCTTTCGGCTATGACCTGGTCCTTGCACTTGTGCTCTCCTGCTCTGACCTTGCATTTTCTGGCTGCCAGGATCAGAATGAGAAGAAAGTAGAGTTCATAGGCATTCAAACAGACTTGAGATAGTCTTACTGGCCCTAGTGGGTACTCTAGGGCAATAATTTCCTGGTATGGTTGTAATTCAGTGTGGGAGTGCTGTTTGCAGAGGAGACGATGATCCATTCTCAAGCCAGTGCCTCAATAGCAGGAAGGGCTGAGAAAAAGTATTAGAAAAGGTATCCTACTTTGGACAAGGCTGGGGTTCTGCTACCTGCTGTCCAGTAATGGCTAAATGTTGGAGTGGTCATGGTGCTGAGTCAGACATTGCAGAATGAATCAGCAGAATGGAAGAGCTGCCAAAGCCGAGAGAGCACATCTGCCATCTTTTGGGACTAGTTATTCTGTTTGTTACATATTAATCACGTAAAAGCTACCGAAGTAGTATTGGAAGGAAAAATATGCAATGCTTATCTGGAAGGCAGGGGCTAGGAAGGAAGGAGAGTTGATGGGGACGTAGAGCAGCAGAAAGCAGAAACATGAGGGGAAAAGACAGTCAAATGTGTAAAACGTTCTAACAAGTTATTATGTTGAAGTTTCAAGTCAACAAGTAAAGTTCTGTTTGAAGTGAGCACTCCCTTTAAGACTATGTTATTGCTTGCTAATCTGTTTCCATAAGGTAGAGTGCCTGAAATGTAAAGGACTTGGACCTTTACCCGGGTGATGTCCTCTAATACTTGAGGGGCATCAGGGTGAGTGTCCTTGCTACAACTTAAGAGCTGTTTTTGATCCCTTTACTAAAACTGAGGTTTTGTCTGCTCTGGGATTTGGTCACCTTCCACTACACTATCTGTATAAAGCTTCAGGAGGAAAGCCTTGCCCTTTGGATACCAGTAGGGACAGGCACCCTCATGACTAAGCTTTAAGGCATATCTATCCAAAAGGAAAAATATACCTTAAAAGCTTTGAAGCTTAGTGGTTAATTGCTTTAATGCAACTAACTCCTACTACAGCTGGAGAACAGTAGTTGCCAGAACATCATGAAATCCTGAATCCCCTGCAGTTGCCAGAGCCTGGAGAGTTGAGATGACTGACTGATGGTACTTATATGTCAGAGGAAGGCAAATGTCTATTTCAGAAGTCTGACCTGGAGGAAATTTCTGTTGTCTCACCAACTACATCCCAGCCTACCTTGGGCAAGATGCAGCAGCCAGGCACTTAAGGAGCACTAGAAAAAATAACAGCGGACTCTTAACCAGTTTTCTATTAAGGATTTCTGCACGTCTCGTTAGGGTAGAAGACTCTAAAAGCAGCTCTAAATGCTAGCTGAGCCAGGAAGGAAGTCAGAATCACTGTGCTTTAAAAGTAGTCAGCACTTCACAGCTTATCAGTTGTGACTTGTCACAGAACCTGAAAAGAATCATTAAGCAGACTTTTCAATGGTGACCTTACCAGACAGACAGCTATGTATTTGTGCGGTTTTCTGACACAAAAAAAAAAAAAAAAAAGGCAAAGGGCTGGATCACAATGAGCCATATTTTGCGTCACGCACTACATCTGTTGTGTTGCAGTCTTACTGGCTTCCAGCTTTACTGGATTTTTTGAAGCTCTTTAATCTTTGCGGAAAATTTATAATGGTAAATTCTGTAAGCTTAAGTATGAGGATAAGATTGTTCCTGCTATGTCTTGCATTAATAGAAAAAGGTGAAACTGTACCAGGGTTCAGGATAAGTGTATATCAGCATTGCCAAATGAGCTGGCATCTTAATATTCCTTTCCTGAAGGATCTTCAGGGAACAGATCTGTGTAGCTGTTATGGACAATCAATAACTTGAACAACAGGATTAGCAGCAGCAATGCTAATAGTTAGGAAGGGAAAAAAGAAAACCTTTACATTTCTTAGCAGCTTTAGAGGCCAGCAGAGAATAACTTTACTTTTTACAAAATGAAATTTGTAGTAAGATGCGTTTCTTCTTAGAACACTTCTTCCTTTATTCTGCTTGCTCAATGAGAACAATATTTTACTTAAAAGCATGCTTTGAAGACCCAGCTACAAGCTTACAGGACTAGAGGAAATTGATCATAGACTAAGCATAAACAAGGACCGTTAGTTTTTATTCAGATTGGTAAGTTGATCCCACATCCAGGTGCTTGGTAAACGGCACCATCTTTTCTCATCTTTAATAGAGGATACGTGCCAGCTACATCTGCTTTCCCACCAGTAGAAGGTTCGTTGTCATGTTGAAAAGTGAACTGTAAGGTGCAGAACGCCGTCAGTTACCCTTGAATGCTCTAGAGATTTACTGACCAGCGTCAATAGAAGCCTTATAGTTCATCCTACAGTCTAATCTTGTTCGCTACTTGTCC